ATTTGGTATCAGAGCTTCAGGCTCAAGATCGGATATATGTTTCCTTTGCTTTCTTCTCAATTTAATTTTTATTTATTTTCATTTTTTTAGTTTTTAATCGACCCAAAGTTCAAAATTCAATCTTTGCTATATTTACAATTTTGAGAGGTGAGAATGAGAGCTTCATTTGTGTAAACAGAGTGGCCTAAAAAAAAATCCTTGAGTGTTGTATACACATGAGAGATTGTTGTGAGGGCCTTTGTATTTTCATATCTTATGTTTTGCAGCAAAGTTTCACAAATAGATTCGAGGACGAATCCTCTTTAAGAAGTGGAGAACGATATGAACCAAGAGACATCATTCATACAATATACTTCAATGAAGATGTGAAGAAAATGTTGTCAAAATTATCAAAAGAGGTTGCAATTCATGTCACATTGAAGAGGAATGAAGTTTGATGGTTATAAATTTTGGGTGAGTTACAATTTAGAGTAATTTAGAGTTATTGTATTTTAAGACATTTTATTTACTTTATAGGTTACATTTACATAATGGCTAATTATGGTCTATGAATGTTACAACTTTTGGAATGCTTTCATTTTGAGGCTATATAAAGCCATGTATGTTGTATTTGTAAGGGAGACTTGGAAAATATAGTAGAAAAGCATTTGTGCTTTCTTTAGCCAATGGCTAAGTTTCTTTGCAACTCTATGTAGTTTAGATTGCATGTAGAATCATTCAAGCTCGACATGATCAATCTTGCTTGTGGAGTGATTCGAATCTCAAGCAAGTGTTCTTACATTGAGATATTTGATCAACAAGAATCATTGAAGCTAGACATGATCGATCTTTGCTTCTGGAGTGATTTGAATCTCAAACAATGTTCTTGTCTTGAGATATTCGATCAACAAGGTAATCCGAATCTTATTCCCCTTGTAGTTGATTCCTTATCAATCATTTGGAATGTTCATTGCGCTTATCTCTTTTAATTTTCTTATAATTTTTTTTTCTCAGTTTGTGTAGAATGTTCATGTTCTATCACAAAAATATATAACAAAAAAAAAAAAAAAATTCTTATGTTCTTTAAAGTGTTAGATCTGGATCTTATCAACACTTTGTTCTTCTTTAAGATCTTCTAAATCAATTTTCTTGTTGGTAAATTGTTTAGATTTTGCCAATCAGA